AATCTTGGGTTTGGATCTGGGCTGCTGAACTGGTTTCCCTTGCATTAGTCACATTAAAGAAACCCTGTGTTGCTTAACGATTAGTCTCCTAACATGGTGTAGTTAAAATAACAGCCTACCTTCCTTCTTAATTTGACACACTCACTGTACTTTCTTTCTCTTCAGCGGAGATAACAAGAGTGACTCTGCACTTTCAGAAGTCCTCTGAGGCGAGAGGTACAGGGACAATGGAAGGGGTTGAGCAAAGTCCCCATTGCCGGTCCAGCTGCATTCCTCAGGGGCGAGCTGTCCAATATAATTTCTGCTCCCTTTGACAAGAGCTCTGGCAGCCACAAAGGAGTCGCTGTGCCGGTCTATCCTCACCCCAGCTCTCCCAACCTTCCTTTCTGAAATGCTTAATTACCCCGACGCCACTTCCAATCTGCAGCCACCTGTGGACTTCTGCCAAAGGGCCTTTCAACAGGTGTCTCTGTTCAGCTTTTATCTGTGGGAATCTAATTATGTGCTCTCGAACAAAGCTAAATATTTTACAATTTTTTTTTTGTATAAGAGTGTGACAGGAACTTTCTTTTCAGGTTATCGGTTTGACTTCCATGGGATAGTCCGATTCTTCCGATACTATACTGATTCGGTGAGCTGTGCAAAAGTTTTTGTTTTAAGAGCGGATCAGATTTTCTTTGCCTTTGATGACATTTGCTTTGACTTGCTGGAAGTTCCCCGTGAGAGGATTTCGGCTTCCAGACAACATGTTTTAACATGAGAGTAGTAACGCAAACCCTGTGGCTAATGGCAGCCCTGCGTGCATAAATCTCAAATGGAAACATATCCCCTCTGATATAATTAATAATCCTGAAGTGCGGGCTGCTCAGGTGAACGTGCAGGTGTATCTCAGCGGAGGGGCCGTGGGGAGCTGGCCTGCTATTGATGAAACTCTTTACTGCTACATTTCTGTGGGAGGATTAAGGCTGTGTGAGAACAGATAAGGGACGTGAGATCAGAGCGCTGTTAAATGTACCTGACAGAGCCAGATCCAAACTGAGACCCACCCCTAAACACAGCCCTCTGCCAGCATTCCTCTCTCTCTTTCTCTCAGACACTCTCCACACACCCAGAGAGAGAGAGATGTGGGAGGTTTAGAGCCTTTTCTTACTTTTAAAATCAAGACAAACTCTTGTTTATATAGCTGAAGTGTGTAATTTCTGAGCTACTAGCATAAAATGGAATTGCAAAAACAAAAAACTGTTTTCGAACAGGTTTCCCAACATTCCACTGTTTGTCATTAGTTGGTCAAACAGAAAGGCCCACCCAAAACTCACACTATTGGTTGAGCTAGTGTTCCTGTGTAGGCTTCAGAGCAAGGATGAATTTAAAATAGCATACTAGCATACTACTTTTAATATTTCTGCCATACATGTGGTAGTATGGCTAGCATACTAGCCTATTTTGAATGTAGCCAATGACAGCTTCCAAATATGCATACTTCTTTTATATATAGTAAGCAAAAAAACATGTGAACAGTGTAGTATGTCATAATGCACAGTGTTCATAAAACATTAGGAAAAAAAATTAAACAGATGACCTACTACTTCTGGTGAAATTCTGAAGTGTGCATCTGATGGATACATAAGGCTAAGGAGAGGATTTGAAATGAAAGTGATGAAACTGATGCTGGTAGGTCACATGACAATGACAAAATGACGGCTAGTACATCCAGATAACATTTATAATAAACACATCAATACTATATAGAACATGCTTTTTAATTGTCAAAAAGTATGTACTTATTCAAAAGAAGTGTGATATTTTGGATGAAACCAAATGTTGCATAGTTTACACTTCTCTGTGAAGTTAGGCTCAGTGGTATGCGAAGCGTAATATGCTAGTATGCTATTGTTAGCATGTTTTTTTTTCTGTGATATCAGCCTTATAGTTGTTGTTTTTTTGCATATTAAATTATAATAAGAGTAAAATACAATGTTTAAATAAATAAATAAATGACCATAGAAACAAATGTTCACTTTTAACTCAGTTTGTAGTTAAGAATTTAAACAGTCATAGCAAACAAGTGTTCTGGAGGGTTTAAAAAATGTCAAGCTTTTTTTCTGTTAAAGAGCTTACATTGAGTCCTAAAAAGTGTATTTGAGCCGCTAAGTTGGCTAAACCATCCTTTTAGAGGGGACTACTTTCCTAAGTGGATGAACTTCTGGTTATGCACTAGGCCTACATAATGTAATATTAATGGAGTTTGCTGTTTGCTTTATGCAGGCAGTGCTTTGTGGATTCAATCACTCTTTAATGCTAATGCATTCTAAAACTAATCTTTAAGTGTTACGATTTTGAAACAGTGTGAAAAATGTTTGCCTAACAGTTGCATAACATTTATCCCATTGCTAGAGCATAAAAATGAGTTAATGTGTTTTCATTACTGAGGAATAAAGCTTTTTTCTGTGCTAATCATTAGCATCTGCAGCAATAGCTTAAGTTACAGGCAATTCAACCCAGAATAGTCTTTTAAGGCATGAGATCAAACTTTCTAAACGAGTTGAAAGAAACAAAAAAGTGCTGATTACCAAAATATGGCGGTTTAGAGAATTAACTCATGTTTGTGAAGACGCAGTACTGCATGTCCCCTGAATAATTCATATCAGCACATTCCATCTTATCAAACATGCTCTCATTCTGTGCCCCTCATCAGTCATTCTATGTAATATTTATAAAGGATTGACAGTGGGTCTGCACTTCTCGCCTTATCTACCCTCTGTTCTTCATTAGCCAGCCCCCGTGATTCGGGACGGTTCCCCACCAAGCTGTTACTCTGAGGCAAGCGTCCCAAGCACCATGTGGCCCTCACACATGCACTCAGAAGAGGCCTCGCTCCCTCACGGAGAGATCCACATCCAGGACGAGTGCTAAGGGGGGTTAAAAAGGCCTGCTGCATCTGTCTCTTTTAACAACACTATGTCCAGGAAGTTCAGGCTGGATGATGACCATGTGTAAGGAGATGTCCATCACGACTAACATGTGTGACAAGTGGAATGGAAATGCAATTAGCCCTCCCCCCACCACCAGACATATGGCTAGGCCTGTTATGTGTTAATAATGTGATGAAATGGCCATAAGGATAAAACAGTTCCTGTTCGTGACATCAGGGGATCTCATTTATATCCTCCCAGAACATCTGAATGGATGTGTAAGTGAACAAGTGCTTTAGGGGAATGAGTGAGTCAGTGAGCAAGCTGTGAACGTGAGTCCGTTGCTCTTTTCCAAATCGTAGTTGGCTGCCTACAGAGGCTGCATTTGAAGGAGTCTTGTTCCTTACATGAAGGCTTTTTCAAAATATACTTTTTCAAATATATGTATTACACTGACTTATGAGATACCAGATTTTAGCCAGATTCTAAGTCATTAGTGCATATTTCTTTGTAGGCAAGGCAATCCCAAAATGTATTGGCACAAGCTCCTTTGTGCGAAAAAATAACTTGACTTTCTAAAATAATGTGATTGATCACAGTTCTTTCATGATTTAACAGGAGGGGGCAATTACTTGCATTATCTTTGTGTAATATTAAAATTAGTTTGATGATCTTAATCTTGAATCTTTTTACGTGTGACAAATATGCCACACAAAAAAACACCGGGAAGGGGGCAGAAACCTTTTCACGGCACTGTATTATATATATATATATATATATATATATATATATATATATATATACACACA